ATAATAATAAATGATAATGATAGGCTTAATATGATAAAGATACGCTTAATGGTGATGATGGCGCCTACATGCCAAAATTTTAATGAAGGGTCAGGTCAGAGCGTTGTTTTGTAAAGTGTTCCAAATATCTGATCCGAGTTTTGAAAAATATCATATTAATTAAGCTTTATACAAAGGACCTTGGCTTTATATAAAAGCCAGTACTTTTATAAAGTCAGCCTGGTTCTTCTCGAGTGTAAAGGCATGCTCAATAGTGTTGTTACAGATTGATACTTGATTAAAAACAACAACAACAGCAACCAAAAAAACACACAACAACAACAGACACCAACCCAAACCAAACCAAAACAAATGTAACAATGAAGTGGGAAGTCGCAGTAGAGTTGTATTCTCACTTCTGTTGTTGCTGCAATAAAATATCAGGTGGATAATTTGAACGTTTCTCTAATATATGCTTTTTCTGAGCAACCACAATTCAAACAATTACCGGTATTAGATCTACCTTTAAAATTTGTAGGAGCCCGCTACACGTATTTTCACAAAACTGACCAGCTCCCGATGGTATACTGTAATGGATCGGATGCATAAATATTATCTAGGCGTTTAAATTGAAAGCTACAGGGGAGTTACCTATTTGATCTGAGACTCAGATGATAAGGAAATCTTAACAGCTTAAATTAGATCTAGACCTAGGTGTATTTCGATGAAAAGTCAAACTACAGTGGAGTATTATATTCTTGTGTCTAAATTAACTCCACACCGGAAACATTACTTGGTAGCGGAATCTGTATGCGCACCTTCTTGTTGTAACACATTTTTAAAAGAACATTTTCATTTTTTTTCTATTTGAATCCATTTATTGTAATATTCTTTTAAAAGCTATATGAATGAATACATATTCTAAAAAAATAAATTTTTATCTTCTTGCTGCCGACATTCGTTATCGCGACATAGTCTAATCTATGACGTCACTTAACTTTACGAATTCAACATGGCGACCAGCGATGCAGATGAATCTCTCTACCCAATTGCCGTTTTGATAGACGAACTCAGGAATGAGGATGTACAGGTGAGTTTTTTTTTCTTATGGTGCAGAAAATCAGTAGATCTTTTATTGTTTCTAAACAACAACCAATCCATTTATTTAATCTCCTGGAAAACATCGATCCTGATCGAAACTAACCTTCCAACGGAGTTCCACTTGTTCCAGTTCCTGAATTTGAAATGAAACAATACAAACAAAAACGACAACCGAAAACATTGTCACTGACTTGCTCTCATACATACACAGACACGTTCGTACACTCATATGCACACTCACTCCCTGCAAATGATATTGACCGTCGAACACTGTCGCACTTGGCCTACTGTACTCATTCTTAGTCTTAACCATGTTACATTTTGATTTACTCATTTACAACATGATGTTACCATGGTCCTGCGTGAGCCAGGTTTTTATATTCCCCGATAAGCCGAGGCTTGGACGCTAGGATATTTTTGGCACCTCGCCTTTGTTCTGGTCCTGTGTCAGTCTGGCCCTGGCTCAGCCCACGCTGGTAAATTTTTACTTTCACTCCCGCACACAGATGCACTGTTTCAGGGGTCAAACTGCTGTACTGTTTGTTGCATATCACACATAAAGTATAAAGGCACTAAAACTGTCGCAAATCAATTATTTTCAGGAAAATTTCAGCGCATCAATATTTAGTAGAAAATGGACAACTGGTAGCCAAGTGTGAGACGGGAGGAAAAGTAAAAAAATACCCCCACGCTTGCTGAGCATCATCCCCACCTTCTGTTTAGGTCCCGCATTCCCGCAGTTCAAGTGTGTGTGCAGTCTGCTTGAGTTTGTGTGCATTTGTGGTCTACTTTTCGAACAGCCTGCGTTGGTTGGCAACGGAGGCGTACGTCTCTTTCGAAACATGTCTAGTTCCAGTAGCTCTAGATGTTCGTCCAATGAAATTAGAACAAATTGACCTTCTCAGTCTCAGACATGAATGTTAGCTCGAAAGGATAAAAAGTTTTAAATTCAGGAAACATGACTTAGATCTACATTTTTTTTTATAGGCCTACACTTTCTTTCAAATGAGCTTGATTTTGTATAAAGTGATACTAGATCTAGAACTAGATCTAGATCTATCAGATACAAATAAATAAGCTTTTTTGATAGTTTTGAATACCGTTGTGCAGGTAAAAAAACCAGTTTGCAAACTGAAGTTGACCTATTTCCCCTTTCGTACCTCAAATCATTCTTAATGTAACAAGAGCATCTGAAAAGGTTATTCGAATATAGATCTATGCGTAACTACTCATAATATCTTAATGAGAGTAGGTTATTCATGTGTTCATAACAGTTTATAAATAGAAAGCTATTTAAAAGATAGAGCGTTATTTTCAGCATTGATTAACATATCCCCATGGTATTCTCGAAAACACACCGGTTTCCAGGACCACTTGCTGAAAACCAACAGTACCCGCTGAGTGACCCCAGCGGCCCGCCCGGAACGTCCAATGTAATAGGTTGCCGATTAGTTTCACATCTCGGCACAAGATGGACATGATGAGACAGAGTTTGTTGGTCGGTTGGCTGAGTTGGGGAGGAATTCCGAAATGAGGGACCACTAAGCTTATACTATGAAATGCAATACCACATGCCCCGCGCAGCAGTGCTAAAACGCGGTAGACTTGCCCGAGGCAGGGGTAACCCCTGGAACATGCTTATTTATGGCATTGTTCTTTGTTTCAGCCCCGGATAACATACATCAGTACACACGGGAGAAATTGCGGTATTCACTGAAGAAAATTTTTTTCCGATATTCCTTAGCGACAGCCGAGATATTATCGAAGAAAGAGGATTGGTCGGCAGCGAGACCGAAACCTGCCGAATGGCACCATGATTTTCCAACTCTCCATATGTGGAAAGTGCGGAGTCCTTCTTAATATTGACCAAATGTCCCCAAACTCTGCAACCAATGAGAAGAAAGATGGATCTAGCCTCTGCGGATTTCCGTCTCTCTCTTCTGGTTCTGTGGCGTCATAAACTGGTTAGCGATGCGGACAGCACGCAGGAACTCAACACTTGCTCGGGGGTCCTTGAAAAGTACTGAGCATGGGTCACTGAAATGTCCCAGCAGCCGTATTGCGGTTTTCCTTGTCTTAATCGAGCTAAAAATAAGAAGAAAGTAACAAGGTGGTTTCTTTGAGGAGATTGTTTTTAAAAATATGTGGTCGATTAATCCGTGGAATGCTCTCCTGCATCATTTATGTCGTATAAGTACTACTGGATCTAGAATCTAGATAGATCAACAAACCTGTCGACATGAATTATAATAAATTCACGTTAAATAAACAGTGAGGCTTTAGATTAGATTCTCCCATCATTCTAATTAACTTAAAGTCTAGATCTAGATAGACTCTATGTATCAATAGGATCTAGATCGGTCCAATGATAGCTTGTTGAACTCGATCCAAAATTTCTTTGCATTCCCCCAGTGCACAAAGAAGGGCTAGGGGACTGCACAGTCGTTCCCGAGTAGGTAGCGCTAGGGGGCTGTACAGTCCTCGAGAGGGTAGCGCTAAGGGACTGTGCTGTCCCCTAACTGTGCTTAACAACTTCCTTTTTTTCCCACAATAATATACTTTTTATAATGAATAATATAATTTGAGCAATGTGGTTTCCTCTGTCCATTCCGATGTTTTGGATCAAAACAAATGTCCTGGAAACTGAGACTTATTTTTTGGATTTGAATTGCTGTTGTTTAATTAAACAAATTCATGCTTGTTCATTATATTTGTATATTTTTTTTTCCTTTTCAGTTGCGACTGAACAGCATAAAAAAGCTGGGCACTATTGCACTTGCCCTGGGTGTAGAAAGGACCAGATCCGAGCTCATCCCTTTCCTCACAGGTATGAAATTAGTGGGTTAAAAAATGCAGGGGGTAAGGGGGGTCTTATTATTTTCTCAGTTCTTGCTCTTTAAAATTCATTCTTTTCACCTTCTGTTTTTTCTATATGTGAGGCAGCGTGGTGAAATCCGGCTCTCGTCAAAATAATGAAATCCGAGAAATCGCCATTTTTCGGTCAGTTTTTTTTTGCTCAACACCTTGTATGTCCATCAGGGGTGAAAGTTTTCTGGCTCCTGCCGGAATTTCCAGCTACTTGAACTCATCCGTGGGCCTCCCTCCGGCTACACCGGCCTGCCAAGTCTTCTATTTCTATAGCCTGCGACGTAACAGTCATTTTTATTTCTTGGGCGTGCGACAAATTTTCGGTTTAAAAAAAGTATATCTGCTGATGGCCAACGCCAGTACTTTTGGTAGGGCTGGGTACTATTCATTGAAAAGAAGCGGAATAAATAGGTACCTAGTATTTAAAAAATTTGAATAGCCGGAAAAAAATGAGTCAGACACTAGGTACCCCCCCCCCCAGTAAAAACAGGGTGACTTGGGCCTAGCCAGGCCCCGGGAATTTGATAAAAATCGCTGAGACCCGGGAATTTGAGGAAATCTGTAAATGACCCCGCGAAAAAGTTGGGAAGACCTGGGAAAATATGAATTTCTGAAATATTTGAAAACAAATTCCGATATGGTCAGTAAGTTAATTTTTGCCGGTCTCGATTATGATATTCGTTCTGTGTTTCCCGGTCCGACAGTGCGTGTTACTTTCCAATCAATCTTTAAAATTGTTGTCCTTTGCTGTATCTGCCATGCTTTCCTTCGAATGTTACACCTTTGTAACACTTTTAATCTTTGGCACGTATGTGCAAGTAATCAGGATTGACTCGATAGTGTCATGGAAGTTTGCGCTACATTTTGTTGATCGGGTGGTTGGTGGGTGCTCTGGTGTGGTTTGCTCCTTCCGTCCTTTTGAAACATCTGTCATCCTGATCTCTACTACTTTTTAAGGTTTGTTACTCATGATCTTATTGTGTTGCAAGTGCCGTAAAGTTCTCACTAAAAAATAAAAATCTGGTTAATGTGCTTCTCTGTTGTCAAATCCGAACTGGTAAAGGGGGCTTTCATGGCCTAGAGGTTAAGGTGTATACCTCTTGTTCAATAGGTCCCGGGTTCCAAGTCCGGATAGCGACTGAGAGTTTTCTTCTCTTCAAAATTTTTTGTCCTTTCACATCCTTTGTGGCTCTCAAACAATGTTCTGTTGGTTGTCTTCTTTCGTCTCCACATTTTGCCCATTTTCTACCAACTGAAAATGTTTAGTGTGTCCCGAGTGCTCATATGACCTTTTGCAGTTGCGAGCGCCATAAAACACTGACCCCCAAAAAAGTAATACCAAACTGGTAAACGGGGGCTCTCGTGGCCTAGAGATTAGGGTGTTGGCCTCTCATTCAAAGGTCCCGGGTTCGAATCCGGGTAGCGACCAAAACATTTTCTTCTCTAAATTTGTCTCCTTTCACCTCATTTCCTGCTCTCTAGCAATGTTCTGTCGTCTGCTTTCGTCTCCTCTTTCTGCCCCCACCCCCTCACCCCCATTGCCCCTTCCTCTGGGCTCCTGATTCTTTCTGCAGCCTTTCTTCTGCTACTCCTTCGCTTCTTCTTACTGCTGTCTTTCAGCCATACCCCTGATCTTCTGGTAGGAAAGATCTACACCTAGCCTTCTCGGACAAGGGCGAAAAATCTCGGAGGGCCCGTGTGCAAGTTGCACAAGTTAAAGATCCCTTGGTGGTCTAAAATCGATAAGAGTAGGCTTCGGCAGCCACCCGGGCAAAATTCAAAATTTCCTACTAACTGAAAATATTAGGTGTGTCCCGCGCGCTCATATAACCTTATGAAGTTGCGAGCGCCGTAAAACACTTTACAAAAACAAACAAAACAAAAACTGGTAAACCTTTCTCATAGTATTTTGTTTTGTTTTGTTTTATTGTTGTGTTATCAGTGTGCTTCTGTTTACTCAAACTGAAATTTAGGAAAATAATATTATGTTAAACTATGTCTTTCATTTTGACTCAAAAGTACAAAGTGTCAGGTGTGTGTCACAACACAGTGGAGTCAGGCGCTTATCAATTTTTGGGCGCATGGAATTATTGGTATTATCGTAAAGCCAGCTTGTTCTTTTGTCTTGTGTTTGATGAAAAAAATCTAAATGCCAAACTATCTTTAATAGAAGTCAAGTTATTTGTGATTGAAGGAGGTGGAGTTCATCTGGTGTCTTCGGTAAAATTAGCGAGAAAATGATCAAAATGGCTGCCATGATTTCCAAAACTTGAGTGTTCTTTGAAAGAGCAAATTTAAATTTTGTATGTCTCCTATCAAGTTTTTTTTTCTGTAAAATCCACACAGAAATATTTATATATTTTTTATGGACATGAACATGTCGAGCCCTTAAAGAAAATTTTTTAATATTGCCCAAATGGGTTGAAAAAATTTTGGTTTCTTCATTGTTATTTTGAAAAGTGCCTTATTTTATTTTCATGCTTTTATATTCTGTTGAACCTGCCCTGACGACCACCTCTATAAGACGGCCACCTGTACAAACGGCCACTTTCCATTTCCTGCCTTGCGTTTTAAAAATATAATTTAACTGTGTAAAACGGGCACCTGTCCAACGCGTCCGCGGCCACCTTATTTTTACGCACAACCCCTATCACACTAAGCAGTAACACCTGTCTTACATGGCCATCTTAATGACTCCATTATGTTTTGTCATAAATTGTGCTTTGGCCCCTGGCGTTGTGGGCGAGCCGTCATAATTCAATCACCTGTCGTTGTTAAGTAGTCCCTCCGACCGGTCATGTTGCTTAAAGGCCCCTCCCACTGTTGATCAATAGCTACCAATTTTCAGCTGCTGGTGAGGTAAGCGTGGGATCCCTCATAACCCATAAGCCCTGCCCAGAATTCATACACAAATCAGAAGTGAGATGAGTGGTCATTGTTTACCCAGTCTGTAAACAAAGTAACAAAGGATGTCAACATGAACTTGTGACAGAAGCGTCGCTCGTTCTCCGAGTTTTCTCCTTGACAATGGGTGGCCGTCTTACACAGGTTTGATTGTAATTATACATGATATATATGTCAGTATATGACAATGTGGAGTGGGTAATTTCAACCTGAGCAATAAATCAACTGTTGTGTTGTCTTTTTGTGTTGGACAGACACGATCTATGATGAGGATGAAGTGCTGCTTGCTCTGGCGGAACAGCTGGGCAGCTTCACGCCGCTCGTGGGTGGTCCAGAGCATGTGCACTGCTTGTTGGTGAGTACTGCTTGTGGTTTCTGTTTTCATTGAGTGCGTGCGTCTAAGTTGAGGTTGGTGGGTGGTTGGCGGGTGCTCTGGTGTGGTTTGCTTCTTCTTTCCTATCAAACACCTATCGTCCTTATCTCCCCGCCTTCTTTTGTATGTTTGTTACTCTCTTGTAACACCTCTAATCTTCTGGCGCTCATCATATGACCTTATGTAGTTGCGAGCGCCGTAAAACCTCTACTAAAACTAAACTAAGTTGAGGTTGTTTTTTCCTTTAATTTCCGTCTGCTCTATGTTTTTGTGTCCTTTCCATTGCTCATTGCTTGTCTGGGTTTTTTTTCGTTCCTCTCTCACCATTTTTTTCCTTCTGTTTCGTTTTGTTTGTTTTTCTTACTTCATTAGTTTTTGTATAAATATGATGTGCCATCTGTGTAGGAAATGTCACCTCTTTTAGTGTGGCTGGCTCCGGTTTGGTCTTTCTTTCCTATCAAACAGCCATTGTCCTTCCTCTCCTCCTTTTTAGTTATATACAGTACAGTTTTTTATATAGCAATATTTCTTTCCTTCTGCTCTTACATGACTGATAAGGCAGTCAGGGAAGTTGAAAGGGAAGCTTATGCTTTTTTAATTACACACCATGCACTACACCAAAGCAAGTCAAACTTGATGTTTTTGTTCTTTGCTACACAATCTAATGTTATAACATGAGTGGTTGGCGGGTGCCCCTGGTGGGGTTTGCTCCTTTCCTATAAAAAAATCTATCGTCCTTATCTCTGTTCCTTCTTTTTTTTTTGTGTTTGTTACTCTCGAGTCTCTTGAAACGCCTTTAATCTTCGGTTAATCGAATTTCCCTTTTGCTTCAGTCGTTTTGTTGGAGATGGACGGGAAACTCTGGGTGTGGCCTCTTAAATAACCTAATAGTGTTGATAGGGGCGTCAAACCCCTACCATTATTTAGCACTGACATGACCTAATTGGGTTGCAAGTGCTGTGAAGTGCTTTGTCAACAAAGATGCCCATTTATATTGCTTTGTCAACAAAGATGTTTATATATTATATTTGATGTCCCTGATTGGGTTTTGAATAAGCTGTCAAGTCTGTTAATAGTTTATTTGTGTGTTTAGTGTTGTGTGAGAGCATGTTTAGTTCAAGCGGTGCCGTGTAGGGTCGTTTGCTGTGGATGACCCTGGTTTGAATTTCCAGATTGGATGTTCTTGGGCTGGCGTTGTTTTGAGAGTTGTCAGTGTTCTCCACATAGGTGGTTGGCGGGTGCTCTGGTTTGGTCAGCTCTTTCTTTTCTTATTTTTGTATGAAATATCTGTTGTCCTCCTCTCTCCTACTTGCCTTCTTTTATTTGTGTGTAACTATCGAATAAAACTTTTCTTCAGTATCTATTGGACTCTTTGTGTTGCAAGTACTGTACACTTCTAACAATTAGATAAGATAAGATGACACTTTATTTTCCCCGTGGAAAATCTTATCTTTTTCTTATCTTTCTTTCTCCCCTCTTTCCCCCACCTCTCTCTCTCTCCTCCGTTGTCGGTGTTGGCGGTTGCTCTGGTGTGTTTTGCTCCTTCTATCCTATCAAACATCTGTAGTCCTTATCTCCCCTCTTTCTACTCAATTCTGTGTTTGTTACTGTCTTGTAACCCCTTTAATCTTCGTCACTTTTATGACCTTATTGTGTTGCAAGTGCCGTAAATCTCTTACTAAAACTATACACTCCTCCCTCTCCCCCCCTCTCACACCACCTCCCTTTCTCTCCTCCCTCACCGCATCCCCCCCTCCTTCTCCCCAATCCCAACCTTTCCTTCCTCCCTCTCCCCACTCCCCATCTCCAGCAAAATTCCCCCTCAGTGTTATTGATGTTGTCCATGGACGTACAAGATGGAGAAGTCTTTATTGTACTTAGTTGTGAAAGTAAGAGGAAAGAAAAAGAGAAGATTGCCATGTTTGAACAACATAATGAGGTACAAATTGAACGAAGGACCGTTCTCATTTCTTCTCCTTCCTTCCTTCCTCTGCTCCCTGGCTCAGTAAAAGGGTTTGCTATTTTAAGCCTCCTTGTGCATGCATGAACCCGGAACTTATGTGTGGCCTCTCTCTCTCTCTCTCTCTCTCTCTCTCTCTCTCTCTCTCTCTCTCTCTCTCTCTCTCTCTCTCTGTCTGTCTGTCTG